CTTGGTTTTCGTTGTTTCCCCATCCGAGGTTATTTCAAAATTTAAATTTGATATTTGAATTTTAAATTTTGAATTTTAATATTTGAATTTTAAAATGTGAGCACTTCAAACTGAATTTTAGGACCATAGATTATTTTAAATTAAAAGTTTATCAACTGAAATATTTTATATCTTTTCAAGATCTATAACTTTGGTTTAGGTCATTTCTCCATCCGAGGTCTTTTAATTTTTTAAAAAAAAATCAAAATATGATACAGAATAATTTTTAATAAAAAAGTTGTTAACTATAAAGTTGTAGATCTCTTCTAGGTATACAGCTTTGATATAAAGTTTGTCTTCATCTAACTTTATTAGAAAAAGTTATGAACTTTACTGTGCTACACCTATTTTAGAGACGGCTCTAGATCCAACCACTTCTACGAATTGATTTGTAGAGACGGCTCTAGATTAGGCATCCAATCAGAAATTCACCTTTTAAAGTCAGCTATCAGAAATTCATTTTTATAGTCGGCTAGATCTCAAGCTGCATCTAAAGATAGGGGCAGTTTTAGAGGTGGCTAAAAATGCCAGCCAAGGCGGCTCATTTTGAAAATCATTTTTAGAGGTAGATTTTGATTGAGCCGCTTCTAAAAAAAAAGACATGTTGCTCAAATTTGTTTTTGTAGTAGTGAATCTGTAGATGAAAGTGGGCTTTCCATATCAACCTATCATCATCAGTAATTAGTTGGAGACACATTAGTTAACGTAGTGGACCATCAGCTTTTCCAGCAAGACTAGCTAGGATTCACTTTTCCTGATCAAATGGACCAATGACGAAGATGATGCCTACTACTCCCTTCGTTCCAAACTGCAAGATGTTTTGATTTTTTTTTAGATACGTAGTTTTTTTGGTATGTATTTAAATATACACTATGTTTAGACATATAATAAAAATAATGTATCTCGAAAAACAAAACATCTTATAATTTAGAATGGAGGAAGTACAATATATGATCTTATAGGAGTGTGAACATGGTTAAGAGATAAATCCTTTTTCCTTCGTGAATTACACAAGATCGAGCTTTATCTTTAATTTGCTACAACCAATCGATACGAACCATCTATAAATTTGGTGTGGAAAGAAGAAATATTTAAGGGACAATTTGGTTAATGTTTCTCTCTTTTTTTCATGATTAAAATTGGACTACCCTTGGATGTAAGAATATGTTTTTTTATAAGATTCATGGACACCAATAGCATGCTTCGGGCTGATGCAGGTGCCGCGCACATTAGCATACTTTGGCATTGCGAAACGGAAAAAATTCTTTAGTGTGTAAGCTTTTGATATCAAAAGACCCAAAATAATTAGGTCATAATTGCTACCTTTTGCTATGATAGTTAAATAATTTTTTTTGGGATGAATCATAGCTTTTCCCTCAAAATCCAATCGCACAGGTGGGAGACCTGGCCCTGACAATGCAACGATCCCTTTAATTTACCCTACCACCTCATCTCGCACGAATCCAATACTTTTTAAAAAAAAAGAAAAAAAAACTAATGAAGTAACCCCCACCCCAACTGACCCCTTTTGTCAATGCTCCTCAAACCAACTATGGCCTCAATCATCTGCAGATGATATGTTTATATGATGTAAATAAACTCAAATGCATGACAACAATTAATAGCAATATTCATATCCTTGCTTGTCAATTTTTTGTGCATGCCATATGTGTAGTGGAAAAATATTTTTATTATGGTTTACTATTTATATATGTCAAACAGTTTTTTTTTGAAAAAAAAACTACATTGTCTAGGGAGGGAGATAATAGTTTCATTGTTCATTTTACTTGAGCGAATGTTCATTTTTCCCATGATAGAACATATCATCAATTATCCTCTTCAATTTGGTCATATCTTTGTTTTTCTTTCTTTTTTAACCTATCTATATATGTTTCCATTTTTTTGTTACATTTTACATAAACAATCATCTGAATTACAACCTTGATATCTTAAATGTGTACCATGTGCAACCAATTTATGCATTAACTAAATTATGTGGTCTTCTCTTTCCTTGATTTATTTTGTTTTTAAATAAAATAACGTTAGAGATGGATAATTGAGAAGCATCCATAGGGACATGCTCGGTTATTTTTTTTCTTAATGGAGGTGGTGGGTAAATTATAATAGACATATGGGTATTTTAGATTATTCTTTTATAATAGCAAGTGGATAATTTATAAAATTGGTATAGTAGTGTTTTAGGTTAACCTTTTTTTTAATAATGGTGGTGATGGGTACCAATTTATAAATAGCTATAGGGGTTGTGTAGACTAGTTTTTTTCATAATAGTAGTGGGGGGTAGTTTACAACTAGCTATAGGGTTATTTAGACTAATTTTTCATAATGAGATTGATGAGTAATATTACTTTTTGTTTTTCTTTCTCAAATTAACACCGTTATTTTTAGAACTTTGGAATGAATTTGAAGGGTTTCTTGTTGTTGACCAAATACTAACACAATAGATGAAAGATGAAAACATGTTTCACCAGTGAACTTAGAGTAGCTCAGCTAGTTAGCTTTCTTGCGTTAAAACCTACCTCATCTGGATTATCCAGATTGAAGTCCTCCAACTTGTACATATTTTTTAGATTTATTCCAAAATTTAATGATGACATTTTCCCAGTTGTAGGTAACGTACCTGTCAACGTGAGGCATATGTGATAACTTCGTCAATCTTAAGACCTGTTGAGGCAGTTCCTTAGAGGCGCCCATAATAAAGGTAGGGCATTTGACGGTGCTCATACGTGCCTACTAGGCTAGATGAAGGATCAACCAACGATTGCCAACTATAGAATTCAGAATTAGTATCCTGTCTTTACAAAAAAAAAATCACAAGCTGCGCATGAGTTGTGCAATATAAACTCCTACAAAATTCCAGCAACACAACAGCACCAGTTAATCAATGAGTGGTAGTATACGTGCAAAGGCGCAAAGCAATGCTCAGAATGGCATACAAGCAAATTGTCTTTAAATAAAAGCATTCAAGTTGCTGGTAGCCCCAAATGAGCAGTAGTGTGATGTTTCGAAAAAAAATGAGCAGTAGTGTAAAAGCTTGTAAAAGACACGGCCCTAGCATTCATTTCTTTCTCAAGCAGGACAAATCGGAAATCAGACAAACTAGAAGTACGGGCGCGGCATTGCCGCGCTCCTCCTTGGAGAGGGCCAGCCAATGCATCTAGATTAATCACTGGTTGAATCTTACTAAATTATGCTGAAAAATATATGAACACCAGATTCTAGAGGTCAGAGGGCCACAATTAATCATGTTGTGTTTGACGAACCTTTACCATTTTGTAAATGGCATTCCAATTATTCAATATGCCAATATCCATGGTCAAAATATGCTTCTCGTAATCAAGACAAAGCTGAGCACTACAGCTGCTCCTTGGATTCTGTCATAAAAATATTAAGACCTCCACGCTGATCAGGATGATGATAATCCATTCTAGAGAATCAAGCTTCTTGTTCAAAATACATGCAGTAAAACATTCCTAACAGAAAATCATTCGACCATGGAATGTTCTACATCACAGTATTAGTCTTACCTCAACAAATTTCAACTTAAAATCAAGGTTTTCAGATCTTTGTGTTAGCCTGTATTCATCTCAAAGGTACTCCAAATTTGAGTGTAGTTTTATTTTTCCATGATATATCTAACCTGGAAATCACAAGGTTGTAGCAAGAAGAAATAACACATACAAATTAGCAAGGTGGAAAATTAAAAATTCAAAAGACAGATTAGAAGATAATCTTTTCCTCTCATGAACTGTATATATCCTGTACTGCAAAACTGGGGATCAATTAAACCAATATTACCTTGTTTTTAGATATGTGATTAGAATCTATGGAATCCCAAGCTTGTCATAAAATTTGCCTGTACAAAGATGAGGAGGTACATAGAATGATGTTAACTTTAAATCCTTCCAGAGTGACCATTAGGCTACTTTATTCTTACATCCAGAATACAACCATTAGGCAGATTTGATATCAACTTTAGGAAGGATATATTTACTTTTAAGAAATAAAGACATACTACAAATGCCAATTTAACACCAGCCACGTTTGCCGCTGTCTATCTCAAGTTCCTTGAAATAGCAAACTGTTGACCTCATAATATCTTGGGCTATATTAAGTGTTGTAGAGATTGTATGAACTGGACCAAGGATTTGTTTCTTCTTGCTATAAGTAATCAATTAGTTTATTATTTGATAAGAGCTTCTTGTTCTAACGACAATCCCTACAAGCTGATTCTCGGTGGTCTTAAATTTTGGCAATTTCGATTTATCTATAATGCTATATTTTATTTGCTTGATCAGAATGCTAACAGAATAAAGATGAATACTTGTGGGAATTTGTAGACAATACACATCAGGAGATATAAATGGATACATTATATGATTCTCTCACTGCGAATGGAATAGGCGTGTGAAGCAAAACCTCAATGTTAAAGACAGATCAGTTCAACGCAAATAAACGGCACCTAATGTTACATCTGAGATGAGGAAGGCTAACTATGAACTCGATTTGTAACTTTTGAAAAAGTAGTAGTAGTAGTAGTAGTAGTTAACAGTAAAATCTTGGTAAATCTTGACAAAATGTTCAAGCAACTATTTTCTGTCCTAATGGATCAGCGCTAAATTTCTACCACGTATCTTAATTGGTATTATATCCAGAATATTTGAAGAGGTAAAACTAATTGATTTTTTTTTGTGTTCAACATCAGCTCCATGTGAATAAAATGAAATGTAAAACTTACACGTTTGAGACTATTCAGCCTGGTTCTATATTCATCAAATGGTTCTATTTCTGCAAACAATTGGTCAAGCTCCAAATCGAGGGTAATAAAACTGAGATGTAAAATATTACAGATTTGGGACTATTCTCAGCCTGGTTAGAATACTAAAGAAATGTGTCTTGGATCAACTTTAATAGAACGGTACCTGTACATACTTAAATTGCAGTCATTGACTTTGTGATAGCTCCGTACAATCTGCAAAAACATTATTTAAGTTGTTATAAACACGTCAACCAAGATTGAAGGAAAACAGAAATACGATACGATGGATATAATGATGCAAACAAACCTTTTGAGATTTCAAACAAATGATGTGACCCAATAATCATACGGGCATCATCTCGTCATGGTCTACTGCATCTATTGTGGCTTGAACCGCTTGGAGCTCCAGGCTAAGCATCAGCTCCATGGCCGTGCTCCCGTGCCTGCTGCTAGACCGAGCCTTTTCACACTCTTCAACTATCTGGAGTTCTCATGGGCATTTCGTCGAGCACACGATGTGCAGACACTGCTCAGGACCAGGGAGTCCACTGCTTGTTCCCCTCCTCGGACCAATCCCCTAAAGACAGAGTGGAAGGGCCTGCCTGCTCGGGTGAGCATCGTGCAAGCGGGAGAACGCGGCTGCGTCGCTGGGCGAATTGAGTAGCGGATGTGGCAGTGGCCGCGCAGCAGAGATGGAGAACTCCCGTCACTATACTGCAGTAGCCCGTTGCTCATACTGCTGGGCCTGGCCAGGATCTGAGCACGCCATTGCCTAGACTTCTGCTTGTTAAGGGGCAGCGGCACAAGGCGCTTCCCTAGCGCGGCGGCCAGCGCGTCAACGCACCTCTGGGCTCCAGCCCCTCCTCCCGGGCGAGCGCCGAGGGCACGGACAACGCGTTGTGCGCGTGTGCGGCGAAGAGCCAGATCGCGAGGACTGGGCAGCAGCGGTCGCGGTCGAGCGAGCCCGGGGTCCCGCCGGTGCCGCACGTCGCGGCCATGCCACCGACCAGCTCGGCCGAGAGGTCGAGGTGGCAGGGCGAGGAGCTCTCGGCCAAAGGCCTCCACGGCGCGTGCGCGGCCGGACCCGGGAGCACGCGACTCCAGTGGCGCAAGCTCGGTGGGCCCTCGGCGGGCGGCGCATGCGCGGCCATCCCCCAAGCGCACGCGACTCCGGCGGCGCAAGCTCGATGGGACCTCGGCGGAGCGCGGCTCCACGAGCAGCTGCTCCCCCGGCTCGGCGCCCATCAGCCATCAGCTCGTGGGGCTGCGCCGCTTGCGGCGAGGGATCACGGAGCGGGCGGTGCCTCTGGAGAGAGAGAGAGAGGAAGGGGAGGGCGAGATGGAGGTGAGAGGCAGGCGAGGGAGAGCAGCGCTGGAGGAGGAGGAGGCGCAGGAGGAGGAGGGCGGCCGACGCCGCCGCACCCCGGTCGCGCCCGTCGCCGTGGTCGCGTCGGGATTGAGAGGGTCCGACGATATACAGTTCGAGGGCTTTTTTGAAAAAAAAAATGAGAAGAGACCTGGACTACGGGTTGATTCGACTAAAGTTCGAGGTTTTTTTACAAAAAGACCGCGGCTCGCCCGATCTAGACCGTCCGCGCGCCCGATCAAACGGCCAAGAGAAGCACGCGATGTGGCACGTTGGCTGGCCAGCTTTTGGGGGCAGGATTCATATGGTAAGATTAAAAAAGAGGATATCACTTGAAGGAATAATTGACTCCAAAGCAGGAAGAGGGTGAATCACGACAATCTCTTCCCCCCTTTCTTGTTTGTGAAGAAGCGAAAACAACCAACCAACAATATATAGGAAAAGATGTTGATGGAACCTTTGTCTCCAAAACCGACAATTCAAGCAAGCCTCTACCCATACGCTCTCTGACTTGACTCTTGAGTCCCAGCCCAGGCTGACCGTGCGGCCGTCTCTGCTTGAATTATCATTAGACCTCTCGCTGCCTCCATGGCAACAAGGAATTAATGGCAGGAGCAGAACCAAGAAGTCGATCTTGCCTTGTGGCCTGTGGGGGCGGTGACAATTTTATAGAGGAATGTACATAGGTTTTCTGCTGGGCACCCAACACCAGAGCAACACATGCCGAGCGCAGAATGGACCGAGGACCAGTGGCAACTAGCAAACCAGGAATAGAGGATGATGCCTATAGGTTGCTTTGCAGGGTTGCCTATAGGTTGCTTTGCAGGGTTTTTTTCTCTGGTGCAGCGCAGACGCGCAGTGCATGGCAGACCACGGTGAACGATACAATATATCTCACCCACTGTGGATTACTCGACAGAAATGCTATGCAACATACATATATTTTAGCAAAAAAAACACATGTATTTTTTTATCTCTCTCCCTCTCTCTTTCTCACCGGTGACCAATCAAGAAGCCGGCGCCCGGCCATGGCCATGCATGTATCCTTCCATAGAAAAAAAAATTATGATATGTGATCTGTGATCTGTGGATGCTGGAGCCTGGAGGTAGAAGAAAGGTGGAGGCTGTTGGATTTTAATCCTATGGTGTAAAAAAATTCATGTGTTGAAACTGTATAAAATATATGGTCGTGTAGTAGACAGACTCGTTGCAAATGTCATCCTTCTCTAGATGTCAGAGCACACTCAACTCAAATCTTTCACTAGAGCAATGCGTCGCCTATTCAGGAGGCATAAGGACTAGACCACCACCAGGAGCAGGAGCAGGAGCAGCTGCACTGCCGGAGCTTGACGCTGATGCCGTGTCAGAGCCTTGGGCGAGGTAGACGCGGGAGGAACTGCCATTACAAACAATCAGCAAAGCATCACCGTTAACATTTTCTTCCATGCACCATGCAAAATTGTGCTAGTAACATTATATTTCTATATTGATGATACAGATATCCTTGTGCAGTCATGCTTCTGGATCAGTGCATCGATGTAGATTTACTACAAATTCAACCAGAATTGTCAAGTTTTATGAAGTACACAGCTGGAGTCTGGATGTTAATTTCACTGGATACCGTTGTTAAGCAGGAAAAATATGAGGAAAGTTTGCTTAAACTAAATTATCAGAGAAAACAGAGAAGAATGGCATACCAATTGACACCGACTGAGTGCCGCTTGCATAACTGACAGGAGACAAAAACAGGACAAACTGTCAGACACCTGGACAGCACAAACCTAAAAAAAACAAGAGCATGCTTACGTGTAGAACAGGTTATTTGAAGTTGTTGTCGTCTCGCAGCACAAGGTATTGCACAGGACGCCTTGTCCCCTGCATTGCCATAATCACTAAGGCCTTGTTTAGATGCCACCAAAATTCCAAGTTTTTTCACTCTCTCTCCATCACATCAATTTTTAGCCGCTTGTATGGAGTATTAAATGTAGGTAAAAAAAATAACTAATTACACAGTTTAGTTGGAAATCACGAGATGAATCTTTTGAGCCTAGTTGGTCCACGATTGGACAATATTTGTCAAATAAGACGAAAGTGGTACTATTCATCGGGTTGAAAATTTTTCAGCATCTAAACGAGGCCTAAATGTTTATTCTTTAGGATACAGACTGGAAAGAAGACAGTTCAAGTTATCTGTGATCTTGTTGACATCTTACTTTCATCTCAGCATGGCTGCAAAGGAAGAAATCAAATTCTGCTGGGTGACAGATCTCGCTATCAACCACTGTGCCTACAATTTTTTCAGAAACATGTGATTAAGATGGCTTATGAAACAGGATACCATAAATTGACTGTTGCAAATAAGATTGTGGTTCTAAGTTCTAACCAGGCTCAACAATTTTCTTCGTAGCAGAACGGTGCCTATACTTGTTGTCCATGGGAAACAGCCTTAGCCTATGCTTCTTCTGCACCACAATGAAGGTGATTTGTGGCTTCTCGTTATCATGCAGTGCTTTCCAAGCCTGAAGAAACAATTATTATTATCAAATATTCTAATCAAATACGATAATGGAAAGCACTATTTGCTCTCAAATCACTTTACCTTTTCTATCGCTGGAATTTCTTTCTCCACAACTTGTTTGAACTGACCGTTACTTATGCCATTTTTTTCGCGATCGGGTTAATATAGCCCGTTTTTCATTAAGCAGAGAGAAATTACACGACGCAGCTACGAGAGAACCCTTATAGCACAGATTACAAACCACCAAGCTAGTGGTGAGTGACCTAGAGTAGAAACTAAGAACAAGAAAAAAGGATACAAAAGATGGCGACTGCCCACGACACCTAAAACCTACGAACTGAGCCTATAAGAAAAGGATACAACATCGCAAAGGTCGCCTACACAGAAGACCGTCCAGCTGCAACGGCGGCAAAGCATCCGCCAACGAACCAAACGGTGGCAAAGCATTCGCCGACGAACCAACCAGCGGCCAAGCATCCGCCGAGGAAGAAGCGAAGACACCCACTACAGCAAAGCATCCGTAGCGGGGGAAGGGCCAGGTCACTCTCGGCAGCAAAGCATCTGCCAGAGAGGAGGCCAACGACAACGGCGGCAAAGCGTCCACCAACAAACCACACGGCGGCAAAGCATCCGCCAACGAACCAACCAGCGGCCAAGCATCCGTCGGGGAATAAGCAGTAGCGGCAAAGCATCGCTACAGTATCCACGACAACAAACCGAGTGAGGTCAACAGCTGCAGGACAGACCAATGCGAGTGGAAATGAAGCACAATAGGCACAGTGAGGGACTCCTCAAGGAACCGACGGCAGGAACTAGGCCAATTCTTCAGCAACGCCTTCAGGAAGGGGAGGACGCCCATGGCAGTGACCTAAACGCCGTCACCGCTGGCCTTAGAGGCCTCTAAGGCAGGGCTTTCGCCTAGAATCCGGCGATGGTGGCACAGGAGCATGGGGCTCAGAGAACGACGCCTCCAGGGAGGTATGTGGAGCTAAAGGCGTCACCGTCGTCCGCCCGGCCACCACCGGACTGAGCTTTCGCCCAGAGCACCATGCATCCAGAGGCATCGCCCCCACGAGGGGGAGAAGCGTCGCGCCACCATCCGCAAAGCAGTAGATCCGGGGCGGAGGAGGGCAGATCCGGCCACAGGAGGCCCGGATCCGCCCTGCCGCCCGGTCGGTTCACCGGAGATGGTAGGTGTTGGGGGAGGGGGGCGGATGGCCGTAGGCCTACCCTAGCCAGCCGCACGGCAGCCAGCGGGTGCGGCTCGGCATCCCGGCGGCCACCCCCATGCGCCACGAAGCCCGGGGGCAGCCACGCCGCAGCAAGGGGAGGAGGCCGCTACCAGCCGTGGGGGGGCAGATCCGGACCCAGGAAGGGCGGATCCATCCCCGCCGGCCAGCCCACTCGCAAGAGGAAGTAGCTGGGGCTCCCAGAAGCAGTCCCATGCGCGCCCCCACGGGCACAGCGGTCGCCGGACTGGGAGGAGCCACGCCGAAAGGAGGGGGAGGCCGCCAAACACCGTGTGAGGCCAGATCCATGACTGGGGGAGGCGGATCCACCCTTCCAAGGCCGCCCGACCGCCGGAGTAGCGTGGAGCGAGGAGGGGTGGTGGAGTAATGGGGGAGGAAGGAAGGGAGCTGCGGTGGTTGCCGATTGTGCGGTCCACCACCGCCGCACGCCGGAGGGCGGCGGCGGTGGCCGGAGAGGTGGCGTAAGGGGCGGTCCCGGGCGGCATCGGCGAGACGCCCCCGAGACGCCCGTTTGGAGCGCTCGGGGGATTCCTAGCAACCAAATACAAAATAGTCTACTGTTAATTTTCATGGGATGATGATCAAAAGAGCGCATCACATATCAGCTGGAAGATAAGAACCTGTAGAATGTTAGCTAATCTACTGCCACCTTGTGTGAACACAGCAGAGGAAGGCAGCGCCGACTTAGCTGTCTGTTGTGTGTGAACACAGTAAGGGAAGGCGGCGCCGACTTTGCCCCCTGCTGTGATACAGTAGCCGCTGCAGGTGCAGGCGCCGCACGGCTCACCTGCAGCACTGTAGGAACAGGCAGTGGCCGGCGCAGAGTCAGCCCTGTCAGGTTATCTAGTTACTGTGCCAGCATGGGCGCTGCACATGGACTAGATAGTTAGAGTTGTATAAATAGACATGTATGGCAACTCAATAGAGAGAGCTCAGATTTGCCATCACACAGATAGGGCCTCGGCCAACGTTGTTGTCTTGTATTGTGCGTGCTTGCTCTGTTCTCCCTTCTTCTTCTAGCTCGATCCGTAGTGTGTGGGTACGAACAACGCCGGTACGTGGTCTGCACGGCTAGTGTGTGCTCGGCAATACTAGCGCGTGCTCGGCGAGACCGTCAAGTGCTCCACTCGCCTGAGCCGGTGCTCGGCAAGATCAGCTGGAGTGGTTCACTGTCGTGAGCCGGTGATCCTGTGAGACCAACGGAGTGGTCTGGGAGACTAGTGGTCTAGGAGACTAGTGGTCTAGGGCTAGTGGTCTAAGAGACTAGTGGTCTGGGGCCAGTGGTCTGGGAGTCTAACTGTGGGCCAACATAGAATATCATCTGCTGGGGCTTCTTGTTGGACTCCTTTTCAAATGCATGAAGGAGGTCCCTTCAAAAGTTGAAGAAATTAAAGGGCAACCCAATGTGGTGGCATGCATGTTTCAAATAGTTACATAGATTGAAGGATGTACTTGACAATGTCTTCAAGGCCACTGATGATCTCTTCACAGTGACCTTGTGCACGAACAACACCAATACACTTAGACACCTCATGCCAGTCTTGGGATGCAACGACCTAAACAGAACCTCAGGCAGCATCTGTTAGTTTCATGAGATGAAAATGACCAAGGTACTATCCATTTAGCAAACAAAAGGAAACCTTACAGAAGCAATAGAAGGGGCAGCAGAATCATTTACAGCAGAAGGATGAGAAACATGAGCACCAAATATAATCGTCGGCTTGTTTGAAACAACCGGTAAACTCTTCTGTACATCATCGAATACTGAGTCCCTTCCTCCAGCCTGTCAACATGGTGAATATATCATATCATGTTGAACAGCAAGTTTTTGAAAAAATAGATGGAGAAGCGAAGCTGAGGTTTACCTAGCCTTGGCATTGATCTTAATAGCCATATTTGCCAATATCTGATTACTTTTGATGAAGACATTTGACCTTCGACAACACTGTGACACGAGACCAATATCTGTCTCACAGATCCTTTTAATATTTCGTGTGGTTAGAAGTAATATCATGCATGACATATATGTAACAGAAATGAAGAAACTATGTGTCCCATCATAAACACTACACTATACCATATAAACTGCCATTTTCATCTGGCAGAATAGCAAGCAGTAAGTCAATCTTCTGATCCCTCAGCTTGTTCTGCACTTCCTGATAGCATATATGAATATCATGTTCAACTTGATCTGGACGTGCAGTGAATATTGGGAGCTTCAAATTGTCAAAGTCCTGAAATTAAAGTGAAAAATGGTAGACAAGACAGTTTGGACCTAGAGACGGTGTGAAAAAGGATGATGAAAAAGCATATTACCACTCCAGTAATGTGAAACATTTCAGCCAGCTTAAAGCAAAACTCCTCAATAACTTTCTTGGATAAATCTTCACAAAAATTGACGCATGCCCAGTTGCTGATCTTAGCACCATTTATTACTTTCTGCAAACAATGGTTACAGATTAAGAAGAAATATATTGAGTTATGTACAATCAAAATTCATGGAAAATTAAAGAAAATATTTTCTTGATTCATTACTTCGCTAAAGAGCATAAGAGAAAGTTAATGACAGTATGACACTAGTGGAAAAGGTTCTTAAAATGGACCTTCATTGAACCTCTAACTTTAAGATTGGTTTAGCCGCTCATGACATACCTTGTCTTTCATATTCCAGTACCCATTCATTGGAAACCACGTTTTCTGAGATCCAGAATCATGATACTTAAGCTACAACAACAACAAAAGGAGAGCACATAAGGCAATCACAAACTGCATTAGACCTAAAACTACTACATCAGACCTCATGGAAGTAGTACATTTGGAGGCAGCAGAACTCTAGCATCAACTGTTGTTGTAAGATTGTCATCAAATTCTATGCCAAATTCATTTGCACGTTTAGTGCGTTTGCGGTCAACAACCTAAGACAAGTGGAAGTTAGGTTAGACAAAACTTAAAGATAATTTTATCAGTTTACCGCTGACACAATATTACACAAAGTGCAGTGAGATCATGAACCTGACGACTGGATTGCTCCGGTTCAGGCTGGATGGAGGCTGACTTCCTTAGAATAGAAACCTGACTACCTTCCAGCTTTTTCTGGTAACACTTCCTGGGAACTATCTTGCAAACCTGAAATTCAAATTGACATTCAGAAATAGCAGCAGAATCTATGGAAGAGTAAGGAATATAAAAGCATAATATATCATGTTGAAGTTGAGAAGTCCATAATTACCAACCTCTATAGGAAGATAAATTGGCTTCTGCTCACTGCCGACATCGATGCATGGGAGAGATTTGTATTTCAGGTCCAGGCTGTACCTTTCTCTGAAGTGATCAATGACAGTCTTTGTAGCTCCACCCGGTGATTCAAAACTGATATTTTAAGGATCCAAGAAACATTTCATTAGAAGTGCTGATTGCACAATTTGATGGCACCATATAATTCAGAAATAGAGAGTCTAAGTTGAACATAAATGCAAAGTAGAGCAATCCTACCTCAAATAAATTAGTAGGCTTCACTGACAAGCCAGTAATTCTGTACCTACGGCGTTTATTACCTCTGTGTGTGACTTCAATCTTCACACCCCTGAGGGCCTTCAACAGCTGAATTCAGAAAACAACATCATACATCTGAAGTTCTTTTGCACAGTGCATTTTGTATTAAGGCAGGAGGAAGCGTGGATACCTTATCATACTCAGGTTCAGTCAAGTTCCTATCCACGATATCTGTCTTTAGGGTCTTCTGAACAAAGTCAATCAGCAGCAGGGGTTGAACGAAAACTGATGAGGACACGTCTACAATGGAAAAATCACAGCACATTAAAAATTTAGCAAAGACAAGTTCTGAACTGCAATATTTACTAGTAGCCATGTAGAAGTGCAGCCCAAAGTTTTTCTTTAAAGCAATCACTTGAAAGAACAGCGTCCAAATGATCTGAAATAGATATGATTTCCACTCCACCGACCACATAAATGAATTTACACAAGTACATATTTTATCCAAAATTCCCCTATTTGGCTAGTTCTGCTATCCAAACATCCTATGCCATACTGTACATAACTGAAGAGTCTGTCTACTGGACAACCATGTGTTTTATACAATTCCAACATATGAAAAAAAAAATTCATCATAGATTAAGATCCAACAGCCTCCACCTTCTTCTTTCTCTAGCTTTCTTCTACCTTCAGCCAATAACAAGATCACAGATTCATAGATCATAGATCACAAATCACAGAAAATAATTTTTTTTATGGAACGACAAATTACAGCCTCCACCGTTCGTCATGGGTCGTCACGTCGTGTTCCCCTGGCTGGGTGCGATTCTCCATGCGGACTGCTGGTGCTGCGCACTGCTCGACACAGTGAGCCAGGGCGCGATTCTCCATGCGGACTGCTGGTGCTGCGCATCTCCATGTGGACTGCTGGTGCTGCGCACTACTCGACACAGTGAGCCAGGGCGTGATTCTCCATGCGGACTGCTGGTGCTGCGCACTGCTCGACATTGAGCCAGTCGAGGCGCAGAGAGCGCACTGCTGCTGCCACCGCGTGCGCTCGCCGTGTGTTCTCTATGCTAAAAAATTCATGTGTTTTTTTACGTTAAAACATACGTGTGTTGTATAGCATTCATGTAACTGAAAAGTAAAACGGAAAATCCGCATTCAGAATTGAACTGGTATCTGACCTTTTCATCTGATTTCCGGATTCTTCCACTGACAGCATTTGATGCTATTATCGGCATGGACTGGTTATCTGCATTCAGTCCAATGCAAGTCCACTGGCTCCAAAAATGGTTGCTCATCCCGTATCATGGCAACTCCGTGTTGCTGCAAGGCATCGATGAGGAGCCTCCCTCTCCATTACTGTTGCAACTCTACAACCTGTCCACTTCCTCCAGTGCCATCTCTTCTCAGCAGCCGTTGCCACCAGAAATCCAAACCTTGATTGATGCATTCCCTGATTTGTTTACCCCACCAGTGGAGCTGCCACCTTCCAGGGCCTGCAATCATTCAATTCCCTTGCTGCCCGGTGCCAGTCCAATATTCATTCGGCCATACCGTTATCCACCAGGCCTGAAGGACGAGATCGAGCGCCAAGTCAATGAAATGCTGTCCCAAGGAATTATTCAGCCAAGCGCTAGTGCCTTTTCTTCACCAGTTCTCCTCGTCAAGAAAAAAGATGGGTCCTACCGGTTTTGCGTCGACTTCCGCCATCTCAATGCTCTCACAGCTAAGTCCAAATTCCCGGTTCCAGTCTTTAATGAGCTGATGGACGAGCTCTCCCAAGCCAGTTGGTTTACTAATTTGGACCTCTGTGCTGGGTTTCATCAAATCTTGCTCGAAGCCGGAGACGAGCATAAGACTGCCTTCCAAACCCACCTGGGTCAATATGAGTTCAGGGTAATGGCCTTTGGTTTGACCGGTGCTCCAGGTACATTTCAGGGTGCCATGAATGCCACTTTGGCTCCCGGGCTCCGTCGTTTTGTGATTGTATTCTTCGACGATATATTGATCTACAGTCGCACTTTTGAGGAGCATGTGCAACATGTGGCCACGGTCTTCCAGTGGCTTGCAGCTGATCAATGGAAGCTTAAACTCTCCAAGTGTAAGTTTGCTCAACGTTCAGTGTCATATTTGGGCCACGTCATTAGCAGTGCTGGTTTGGCAACCGATCCAGCCAAAGTACAGGCGATTCAGGAATGGCCAACCCCAACTATAGTCCGTGCTCTTCGTGGATTCCTCGGACTTGCCGGGTACTATAGGAAATTTGTTCGTCATTTCGGTGTCATTGCCAAGCCCCTTAATGACTTGTTGAAGAAAGATTCTCTGTTTATCTGGACATCTCTGCATGATTCAGCATTCAGATCCCTCAAAACAGCACTGTCTTCAGCCCCAGTCTTGGCTCTTCCGGATTTCTCCATTCCATTTGAGGTTGAGACTGATGCCTCTGGATATGGAATTGGTGCTGTCTTGCAACAACGCGGCCACCCTTTGGCCTATATCAGTAAAGCCTTGGGGCCTCGCAATCAAGGTCTCTCCGTCTACGAGAAGGAGTATTTGGCCATTCTTATGGCGGTGGACACTTGGCGTCATTATTTGTTGCAATCCGAGTTTGTGATCCACACTGACCAGAAAAGTCTTGTGCATCTCAATGAGCAGCGGCTTCACACGCCTTGGCAGCAAAAGGTGTTCACCCGCCTGTTGGGCCTCCGTTATCGCATTGTCTACCGCCGCGGTGAAGATAATACCGTGGCTGATGCCTTGTCCCGCCGGCCTACTTCTGCACATCTATTGGCAGTTTCATCTCCTGTTCACGACTGGAAAGCAGCATTGCAGGACTGGTACAAGCAAGATCCTGAAGCCTCTAGTCTGTTAACTCAGCTGTCGTTGGATCCTGCAGCTAAGCCTCCATTTAGCTTGCGCCAAGGGCTTCTCATGTACAAGGACCGGGTCTGGTTGGGTTCTTTCACTGATCTGCAGTCTCGTGTACTGTCAGCTCTTCATGACAGTGCCGTTGGAGGCCATTCCGGTGCTCCTGCCACACTTTCCAGAATCCGCCAACTCTTCTATTGGCCTGGTATGAGAGCTGCCGTTCTTAAATACGTGCAGTCTTGCTCTGTTTGTGCTCAGGCAAAACCGGACCACAGCAGCTATCCCGGTCTCCTACAACCCCTGCCGGTCCCTAAATCTTCCTGGGAAGTAATCTCCATGGATTTTGTCGAAGGGTTGCCTCTCTCCGGCTCTGCCAATGTTATCATGGTGGTCGTGGATAAATTTTCCAGGTTTGCACATTTTGTAGCGTTGCGCCATCCGATTTCTGCTGCTTCTGTTGCTCGTGCCTTTCTGGATCAGATTTACAAGTTGCATGGGTTGCGGCGGCTATCATTTCGATCGGGATCGGCCGTTCACGAGCAAGTTCGGCAGCTCCTTTTCAAATTGGCGAGGACTGACCTCCGCGCATGAGTTTACGCATACCATCCGCAGACGGACGGGCGACAGAGCGTGTGAATCAATGTATGGAGACGTATCGAGATGCTTCGTTCATGCCGCCCCTCGCCAATGGTCGCGATGGCTTTCCCTCGCCGAATATTGGTACAATACTGCTTTTCACTCGGCTCTAGGAAGATCACCCTTTGAGGTGCTGTATGGCTGTCCGCCACGGCATTTGGGGTTGGACCTTTCCTCAGCGGCTCCTGTTCCGGATCTTCAGCAGTGGCTCTCTGATCGGGACTTGATGCAGCGCATTGTCAGCCAACACCTGGAGCGCGCTCAACTTCGCATGAAGAGACAAGCAGATAAGCGTCGATCTGAGCGCTCTTTCAATGTGGGTGATTGGGTTTTCTTGAAGCTCCGGCCGTATGTGCGATGTCGTCGATTGCGGCTCGCTCAAACAACAAGCTCTCATTCAAGTTCTTTGGGCCCTTCCGAGTTCTCAAGCGTGTTGGTCTTTGTGGCTTATCTCTCTGGACCTCCCGGCAACGACATCGATTCACCCCGTCTTTCATGTATCGCTGCTCAAGAGCTCTCGAGTTCGCAGACCGTGAGTTCTTCGTTGCCTTCTGATCTTGTGGCCTTTCAGGTGCCTGAACGTTTCTTGCAATGGCGCTGGACACCCGGTGATCACTCTGTTCACCAAGTTCTCGTCAAGTGGTCGCATATGCCGGCGTCGCTGTCCACTTGGGAGCCTGTCGAGGAGCTTCGTCGCCAGTTTCCGCGAGCTCCGGCGTGGGGACACGCCGGTTCACAAGAAGGGGGGAATGTCAGCACCGGTTTCGTCGGCGTCCTCGACGCGACGACCCTGCTGGAGGCAGCGTCCGCGGCAGTTCCTGTCCTTCGCCAAGGCCCAAGAGGCGTGTCCGGCCCAATCCACGGGTGCTCGGGCCCATGTGGCGTCAGTAGACGAATATATGTATGGGAAAGGAGTGAGAGAAGGAGGACGGAAAGTTGTAAACCCTAATACATTCCTGTTAATCAAGCACTCTTCGTTATCGTACATTCTTGTTCTTCTTTATCGAGTTCTAGCTCTGTAGTTCCTACTCACAGACCTGCAATCAGAGACAAGCCGTCCTGTGTTGATCTGATGCTCTGATAGAGCCCCTTCCATGCCTCAACACCCAGTGTATGATTATTGGTGCCAATCGGGACGCGTCTGTTCACAGCCCAGACGAAGAACATTTATCATCCCAAATCATAAACACAGTGAGATACTCAGAGACGGTGAATGTTTCGTCAATTACTCTATGTCATTGCGTTCGTTGAAGAGGACGTCACCCAGCATGGTCTCGAGGACCTGCAGCGCCTGCGCGGGGATGTCAGTGGAATAGCCCGCCAGCAGCATCCTCAGCTGCAGCAGGCTGATTGCTGAGGCATGATTGATCACCACCCTGTACTTCGTGTCCATCCTGCACAATTCGTCGAGCAATTGTATAGCATTCACATCTCTGCAGCGGCCAGCAAGGGAGAAGCAGAGTTTACATACCTTTTGTCGCCGCCTGCAGAGAGGGTGACCTCGAACTCCTTGGTGCCGAACGGCAGCGCGCCCACGGTGAAGAGCGAGTCACGGCCGTCGTACGCGGGGAAGCGGCCGCCGAGCTCCGTATGCTGGTTCTCGGACACCAACTTCGTCATGACCTCCCTGTACGCGCCCTTAGTCGTCGGCTCCGGCGAAATGGTCACCTACAACGAAACGAACCACCACAAACACGGGAACCCACGGCAATGGCGCTAGGTCAGATCAGATCAAAGCGAACAGCGAACGAAGAGTGGGCACTTACGTTGTACTGGTGCAGGGACTTCAGGTCCTCGTCGACGAGGCGGCCGAGGAAGCGGTTGGCCCTGACGACGCACGGCGTCCCCTCGCCGCCGTACCCTGGGCGCGGCGGACGTGGATGCCGAGCGCCTTGAACTCCTTCCACAGCAGCGCGGCGGGCTCCTCTGCGAGGGGTGGCCCGGCTTGGCGCGGATCGGCGGGCTGGCTCTGGCCGACGCGCGAGTTGTTGTCGTAGTCGTGCCCGTTGCGGTTCCCCGCCTCAGCGCCGCTCGGGTTCGCCTCGTCTCGCCCGCTGCCGCCGGAACCCCGCGCCCTCTGCTACGGTGAATCCTCGCCATGGGCGCAACTGCTCTCGCGCGCACGCAGGACTGCAGGAGTTCTGTTACGTACTTGGAAGAGAAGAAAAAGGAATGTGGAGGAGGCAATCAGTTCAGCACGACGTGCGTGCACCCCCAGTTTATATAGAGCTAGCGTCCCACGGTATCTGGTAACTTTCCCATAAAAGTAATGTAATTTTTGTTTGGGACTTGCTATATCCCAGTCGACTGAAATTTACATCTTTTTTCAGTCGACGTCCACAGCCCTTGGATCTGCATCCAAGGGCTCAGATATGTCCCTGTTGTTTTTCTTCTTCTAGCAAGCCAAACGGATCCGCGAATGAACCCGTAAAACCAACCCACGCGCTACTGAGCCCGCCAAACCTTAAACGTGTTTAGTTACCAATACCCGCTATATCAACTCAGTGCTCATTTGGGCCACAACGTAGCTATTGGGCCAGTAAAATATTACACATAATTTACAAATCTGCCACTGTGACCTCCAGCAAGAAAGAAACACCACGATTAAATCTAGATACACAACGAGATGTTCTCAGTAAACAATGTCAATGAATAACCGCTACTAGTCTCTCCATTCTTGCCATAGCAGTCACAATTGGTGGTTCCCTGTCATAGTCTGCGTCTTTCGGAAGCGAAGCTCCCACCAGCAGTCAGCATGCATATCATAATCATGCATGCCTTCAACGTTCCAGCAGTCCCTGCATGATTGCCTATTTTTGTATTATTGTCAAGTATTGCTACTAGTAGCAATTACAAGTAGGGCATGCATATATGGTGACAACTCAAGATCAAACCATACCAGGCCAGTAGTTGTGCCGCTACAATTAACTAGACAGTGCTCTGTCAAGGGAGTGATTTAGAGTGAAGGTGCCCTATATTCATAATTAATGACTTCTAATGAGCACAGAAAAAAGAAAACATATTACAAAGATCCAGAGAAAAGTATCATCCCGCATCTCTCAAAAAGCTTTATTTGACAAAACAAAGATCCAAACTCATTGTTCTAATATTCTCCAGTTTTGCTTAAAAAATGATAGGTTCTGAAACTGCAATCTACATAATCTCCAAGTCTTGTTGCACATCCATTTCCACCTCAGTTAAATTGGGTTTCCAAAGCTAAAACACTACTACCAGTCTAGAAACTAAATTACAATGAGCCAACGAAGCTACGCTAGTCAAATTGTCATTTCTGTAGACATTTAGCAACACAAACTATACACAAGGGAAATGATGTTTTAAGTAAAGAATGACCAACCTCTCCACATATAGACTCAAAGAACAATTTCATATCAGCCTAAGTGACTTGCAATAAGTGCATATATTAAAATAGAACAATGACAGAATGAGTACCTAGTGTTTGCATAGGTGTTCATAGCAATCCATCTTGTCAATGTTTTTACAGTAAATAATGATTGCACACATTTCACGTCCATCATCAGACTGCAGATTACAACAAAGTGGCAAAATTTTTAGAGATCATAAGTAGATACAACCAAGCACAGATTTCATGTTCATTAAAATTCCACAAATTGCACATGCTCACAACTACATTTGCAATGCTCTATCCTTGCAGTTTATATTATTGGTGATTGCAATCAATTAACAATAATGGAAGACGCTGCTCATTCTAGATAACATTATGAAGCGAAGTGATTTTACTAGCAGAGATGACACTGATCAAAAATGTTACAAAACTAATTTAGATGACATGAGCTACAAATATGTAGCATGCAGAAAACATCAATAAGTGTGATTTGTGATAAAAGAATGGATAGCTACCCATCTATTGCTACAATACATAATCTTATTAATACAGGGAGTAATGAAAGTATCTGAATTTATGGGGCTCATGAGAAAAGTCATAAGAGCAATCATCAGGCAATATAGACAAATTACCGCAATTTTACTAGAGAGTCAATTAACCATGACGACAAATAAACAGGTAGACAAAAGAAAAAACCAAAATATTGACAATCTGATAATATAACTTCTCAAAGGGAAGAAACAGACTGAACTTAGTGGTAAGAAACACATAAACTACACCTCAGAGCCACAAGAAAGAATGGAAGGAAAACTATACATGAACTTGTAAATCGGCAAATTATGTCCACGAAACTACCAAAGAAAGCAACATAAATCTTGACAGTCTGACAGTATAGAAATTCACAGGTAAATCCCTAACTCACTCTAAATGTATTTGACAGTGGTTATCTCAAACTGCAGGTAGTATTCCTAACACATGTATGCATAGTCTGTCGAGTTCAGCACGTCATTCCATACAAGACAAGCTGCAGAAAATACAAAAATCAGCAGCCACTTAAATCAACTAGCTGAAAAGACAACCATGAGGCAAATTTGTTCAACAACAACATATTGCATATGCTCGCAACTGAAATTGCAGTGCGCGGATCTTGCAATTTAAATTATAGTAGACTGCAATTACCTGTTTGAAACTTCAGTTTAATGTTTCCCATACTGGACAATTAAAGATCACAAGTAAAAATAGGCCACTATGAGAGTACGAACAAAGCTTTTACGGTCCCAAATGCAAGATCTTTGCCAACGCTAAAAGTGTACAATGACAAGTGGTTCCATGCAATTCTAAAACTGAAAATATGGTACAATAGTTATCAGTAACTTGCTACTCAAAGTTTCAAGAACTAGATGTTCAGAGTGGACCATAATCACTATACAAGACATTTGAGAGCTTCCTAGACTTGCGTAGAGGCATAAACTTGACTCTCTAATCACTACCACTTGTCAGAAACAATAAGACAGTGACAAGCTACAAAAACTACAAATCTGATCTATACAAGAAGATCCTGCTGACCATTCTTGCATGATCCTATTTGTATCGACATGCATGAGCTGCTAGAAGCACATCCTTCCAATTAGAGATCAAACTGACACACAACACTTCGCACACACAAAAACTAAGGCCTACATTCAGTTGCAACACCAGATATATGTGTGTAACTAAGACTGAAAGTTCTTCCACCAGTTGCATAATCAATTGTTCTACTATTTATACCATGACAATAATTTCATACAATACAAAAGAAAATTGCACGTTTCAGTTACGGTAACTATTACTTTTTGAAAATGCAATTTCTACTTTATGTTCACCACTTACCAGTGAGATGATCACAAGGCCAGGCTGCAGCGTGTTGCTCCTGCATTGCTGGGAGCCTGGGACATCTCATAGATCTCTAGCTGCAGTTTTCTCTGGTTCAGGAAGCTCTCTCCCGCTTTCAGGTCTACCTCAAGTGTCGTCTCGGGGTCACTGTCCCTCATCTCAAGACTCGCTGCATTAAAATGAGCAGTTCAGTTTCTTGACAGATGTTGTATTACATCAACAAAGGAGTTAGCGGTGAATGAATGGAGTCCTACTTCCCAGGTTATCAAGAAATTTCACAGAGATGACAAAAAAATGACAACACCCTGAAACAATCACAAACACTATAGTGCTATGTTTTTACGGGATGATACCATATTTTTTCATATTTTATGACACAATGTTCTTTTTGTACGAGGATAGTCATAAAATGCGTTTAATTCATTGAAGCTTATACAATCTTATTACCCGTGTATGCAAGTTAATTGGTATACCATCTGTTTTTGGTGGGGTCAGTGTTCACACAAATCATAATTAACAGACTTCAAGATATGTTAGCACAAATCACAGAGACAATTTTTTTCCTATGAAAGGACAAGAACAAATAAGAGATGTGTGTTGACACAACTAACAATTAATAGATTTCAAGATGTGTTAGCACAAATCATAAGAGACAATTTTTTTCTATGAAAGAACAAGGACAAATAAGAGGTGTGTGTTGGCACAATCACAATTAACAAAGTTCAAGATGTGTTACCACAAATCACCAGAGAATTTTTTCTATGAAAGAACAAGGACAAATAAGAGGTGTGTGTTGGCACAATCACAATTAACAAAGTTCAGGATGTGTTAGCACAAATCATAAGAGACAATTTTTTATATGAAATAACAAGGACAAATAAGAGGTGTGTGTTACCACAATCACAATAAACAAAGTTTAAGATGTGTTAGCACAAATCACAACAGACAATTTGTTTCAAGGACATGAATAGTGTGCTTTAGCCACCCACAAATTGGTCCTACTCACGATCCTGCAAATGATTAATTTGTAGGTCGTAAGTCTAGGTTAACCCAATATGATTACCTCCATAATACTAATCCAATCATAGCTAGGGCTACCCGACTAGATATGGACACACGGACACAGCACAAGCCCAATAATTGCATGCCTATAATACATATTTCCAACAATAAACAAGGTACAATGAATATATATGATCTTAAAAAATTACAGAATATATATATATATATATATATATGAAAATTGCACATTTAAGGTAGTGCAAGTAGTGCTTGTTCATAATGTAATAATATTGTATATGTATATAATTAGAAAATCTGACTCATACATGTGAAGCCTGCTATGAGTACTGAGTACAGTTAACTTGTCCTGGTGAAAAGCAAATACACAGAAAAGCACAAATGAAAAAACTCTAGACTGTTAGCACAAAGACAAATCTGATTCTATAAACAATAATCGGGTTTGTCTTTGAGACCTCTCAAGGAAGAGTTGTAACCACCTAAGCACGGGCCGGAGTCATTTTTAGTAAATGCACATATATACTACAACAAACTTTGTAAACAAACAAGGTGGTGTCATGCACCTATGCACAAAGACAACTCTAAACTATAATCAGGCATCACAATTGGATTCTATTTTGGCCACCAACCTAACATTATGACCTAACTGTAGTAGCTCTAGTTCACAAGGCGAACAAACAAAGGAGAAAAATTGAAATTAAATCAAGCATCCAGATCTGGACTATGTTTCTATCTAGTTTCAGCTGCAGAGGTCCATCATATCATATTTTATAGCTCTTTTTTCATCCAAATTCATTAAACTTGCAAAACAAAGAAGCAAGGAAGGAACGACATCCTTACTAGT